GATGAGTAGGCTCGGATCACCTGGGGAGCCCTGAAGTATCCCCCGCCACCTAAGATCCTGACCCCTGGGGCCCGTGAAATATCCCCATACCACCTAAAGATCCTGGCCTGAGGCCTAAAATGCCTGCCACCCAAGAGATCCCTGACCCAGTGAGAGACCCCTGAAATATCCCATACTGCAGAGATCCCCTGAGACCCCTGAAATGTCCCATACCACCAAAGTCCTGACCCTCTGAGGGGCCCCGAAATATCCCCATACCTGCAAGAGATCCTGACCCCTGAGGGGCCCTGGAAATATCATACCACCTAAGAGATCCTGACCCCTGAAATGCCCCCATACCACCCAAAGAGATCCTGACCCCTGAGACCCCCTGAAATATCCCATACACCCAAGAGATCTGACCCCTGAGACCCCTGGAAATATCCCCATACCACCCAAGAGATCCCTGACCCCCTGAGAGAATTCCCCCCCTGAAAGAGACCTCTGTTTCCCCCTGAGTGAGACCCAAAGACATCTCCCTTACTCCCCTGAGAGACACCCCAGAGAAAGGGTATACGGAGTGTGAGGGAGAGTGAGAGGGAGTTTAGGGAAAGAGTGAGAGGGAGTTTAGGGGGAGTGTAGGGAGAGTGAGGGAATTTAGGGAGTTTAGGGAGAGTTTAGGGAGAGTGAAGGGAGTTTAGGGAGAGTGAGAGGGAGTTTAGGGGGAGTGTAGGGAGAGTTAGGGAATTTAGGGAGTTTAGGGAGAGTTTAGGGAGAGTGAAGGGAGTTTAGAGAGAGTAGAGGGAGAGCATGACAACTTTAATGCCACACTTTTCACTTGTCAATCCCTTACTCTTCCCCCCCCTCACCCCCCTCACCTCCCTCACCTCTCCCTGGGGGTAGGGGGGGTGGGGTCGTACATGCTCACCATCGTTCTCGTCAACACTGGTCGTCAGGAGGTCGTCCAGTTAGTTTTTATCACAGGGGGTCGTCAGGCGGTAGTAAGTTAACGTTGTTATTAAACCACTGTTGTCACACCTGTCAACTGTTAATATCACCCGTTTACCTTTAATGTTGTATCTGTTAACTGTTAATATCACCCGTTTACCGTTAATGTCACACCTGTTAACTGTTATTATCACCCGTTTACCGTTAATGTTGTACCTGTTAACTGTTAATATCACCCGTTTACCGTTAATGTTGTACCTGTTAACTGTTAATATCACCCGTTTAAGACCAGGCGGTGGTGTAAATAACTGCATGATGGTAAACAACTGTGTATGATGGTAAAACAACTGTGTATGATGGTGTGTAAACAACTGTGTATGATGTAAAATAACTGTGTATGATGGTGTAAACAACTGTGTATGATGGTGTAAAATAAGATGACATTGATATGTTTTTTGTGATCAGAGAAAAATAGAATGAAAAATATTAAGAGTCGTTTAAGTGTTTTATATAACGGTGTGTGTGTGTGTGTGTGTGTGTGTGTGTGTGTGTGTGTGTACGTCGGAGAAAATTGACCATTCAATTTCGCTGTAATCACGGGATTTTGTCGCTGAGAGAGAGAGAGAGAGAGAGAGAGAGAGAGAGAGGTAGAGAGAGAGAGGAGAAATAAGTTAATACCAAGTGGAATAAAAAACCAAATATTAAATAAAAATAAAATAAAAAAAATATATCAGGATTTACAATAGTTTCCTTCATCAGACTTCAAACTCCAGATTAGTTGATTATTTTCTTAATTGAATCTGGGCTGATTTTTCTTGAGCTCTACGCAATGAGTATTCACCTAGCATCTCAGATTTTATGGACAAGTCTTAAGAGGTCCAGATTTCATTGAGATATCCACGTATCACCATCAGATTAATCCTTCCTAAAGATTTTTCTTCATAAGCACCCCAGATTTTCTTCACAAACACCCCCAGATTTTCTCTGCCAAAATGCCCCCAGATTTTTCTTTCACAAACACTTCAGATTTTCTTCTCATACAAACAACAATTCCAGATATTTTCTTCACAAACACACCCAGAGATTTTTTCTACAAACACCCCCAGATTTTTTTTCTTCACAAACACCCCTAGATTTTTTTCTCTCTACAAACACCCCAGATTTTCTTCTCACATACACGCTCAGATTTTCTTCTACAAAACACCCCCAGATTTTCCTACAAACACCCCTAGATTTTCTTCACAAACACTCTCAGATTTTCCTCACAAACACCCCAGATTTTCTTTTCAGGTCCAGCCACTCATCATCTTCTCAGAGTAATCGTTCCCCACCCCTTCAGATTTTGTGCTGCCGAACGTCCCCGATTTCAGGAGGGGTAGATGGAGGGGCTGGAGTGGGCCTTACTGAGCGGCGGGTTAGTGTTGTATTCCGGCCATATGTACTTCTCAGATGCACTGCATTTGCGAAGAATGTGATGACTTTCCTGTTTCTTTCCCCCTCACTTTTCCCTCCTCCTTCCCACTTCTTCTTCCTCCTCACCTTCCTTTTTCTCCCTCCTCCTTCCCTCCCTGGAGTGGTGAACAATTTAATAGATTTTTCCCTAGTATGTAAACGACTTTTTCCGTCGTTCTAGTTTCTAGTTCATTTTCTCCCGGGTCACTACCCACCTTTTTTTTTTTTTACTAGTCATTCGTAATTTTTCCTCTGACGGATAGAAAATTTTCCCACAACAGGGAAATTCCTAACATTTCCCTCAAATTCGGAACATACATACCATAGTTGTCATTATATTTCCAGTTTCTGGATTCGATGCACCTAATTTGTATTCCACACACAGTTTGAATTCTACGTTCCATTTTGAATTCCACGCACGCAGCTCTGGAATTCTACGCACCTAATTTGTATTTTTGCGCTCTCGGTTTGAATTTGCACCCAAATTAGGAGAGCCCTACTCCCCAAGTTTACCCTAAGGCACCAGAGACCTCATTAAGAGGTAAGGTCTTATGAGTTCTTGTACAAAGTTTTCAAAAGAACCCAACGCGAGCGGGGAAATTGCTGTTAAGGAGAGGAGAGAGAGAGAGAGAGAGAGAGAGAGAGAGAGAGAGAGAGAGAGAGAGAGAGAGAGAGAGAGAGAGAGAGAGAGAGAGAGGCCAGGTAAGACGACGGTGGGGAGGAGAGGGAATAGGGGAGAGGAAGAAGAGAGGGACAAGAGGAGGGGAAAGAAGAAGGAAGAGAAGGGTAAGGGGAGAAGAGGGGCAGAGGAGAAAGAAAAGGGGAGGGAGGAGGGAAGAAGAAGGAAGAAGTAAGGGAGAAGAGGGCAGAGGAGTAACAAAAGGGGAGGAGGGAGAAGAAGAGGGAAGAGGAGGAAGAGGAGGTAGGGGAAGAGGGGAAGAAATGAGGAACTAGGAGGCATGGCGAGAAGAGGAAGGAGGAGGAGGAGAGGAAAGATGAGGGTACGGGAGAAGAGAGAAGAGGAAGAGAAGAGGAGGCAGGTAGAGGAGGAGGAGGGGGGGGGGGACGCTCTGTATATGACAAGCATTAAAATTCAAGACTAACATTTTTTTTTTTTTTTACTTAATCTTTCAACAACCGTTTATCCTTCAAAGAATTTTTTTCTCGCGTGAAGTTAAAAACAGATAAGATGATAAGATTCTTTCTCTATGGCGTCAAAATATCCTCTCGGAAATGTTACCATATGGGAGATAAGGAGAGAATTTCTACCATTTTGTGAACACCTTTAGTAGTTGGGTTTGCTGGGTTAGGGTTGGGTCACAATAAAGGTTTGCTGGTGTTTGCTGGGCTTTGGTTGGGCTTGCTGTTTGCTGAAGCTTGCTGGAAGTTTGGTTGGTGCTTGCCTGGTTTGCTGCTTGGTTGGTGTTTAGTTGTTTACAGGTGTTTGCTGGTGCTTGCTGGTGTTTGCCTATCAACAAGCTGGGCTGGTGCTTAGTTGGGCTTGCTGGGTTTGGTTGGTGTTTGCCTGAAGCTGGCTGCTTGGTTGGTGCTTAGTTGGGCTTGCTGGTTTGCTGGGTTTGCTGGGTTTGCTGGGTTTGCTGGGTTTGCAAGGTTTGCTGTTTGCTGGTGTTTAGTTGGCTTGCTGGGTTTGCAAGGCTTGCTGGTTTGGTTGGTGCTCAGTTGGGCTTGGTTGGGTTTTAAGGTTTGGTTGGGTTTGCTGAGGTTGGTGTTTGGGTTGGGTTTTGCTGGTGCTGGTTGGGTTGGTGTTGGGTTAGGTTGGTGTTTGGTTAGGTTGGTGTTGTTGCCAAGTTAGTTAGGTTGCAGTCAAAGTGCCGTAGAGGCAATTTTCATCCACTACAGTCTTATTTTATGCCTATGCTCTGTCCCACCTTCCACTCAACCATCTATCTATTCATCAACCATCTGATTTCACGCTCAATTCTCGCTCACTCACACTCATCAACGTTCACACACGCCTGCTGGTTGCTACCTGTCGGCATCAGACAGCCAGCCACCACACCTGGATCATACTATATAGTTTTCCAAAGAATGACTTAAAGTTTTCATCATAGGCGTAGTCTCTCTCTCTCTGGGTAGGGGGAGGAAGAGGCAAAACATCAAGTAGGAAAGAAAGGCAGAGGAGGAGGAGGAGAATGAAGGAAGAACTTAACAAGAGAATAGATGAAAAGGTGTAGAATGTCACTGAGAGAGAGGAGGACTGTGTGTGTGTGTGTGTGTGTACGTGTGTGTGTGTGTGTGTGTGTGTGTGTGTGTGTGTGTGTGTGTGTACGTGTGTGTGTGTGTGTGTGTACGTGTGTGTGTGTGTGTGTGTGTGTATGTGTGTGCGTGTGTAAATGTGTGTGTGTACGTGTGTGTGTGTGTGTGTGTGTGTGTGTGTGTGTGTCAGGTTCTGAGTTCTAGCGAGGCTTAATTACCGGCTGTCTTTGAACTGACTTCCCCGGCCTGACTATTGGTGCTGTGCTTGTGTGGTGATCTGTAGCTTGAGTTAGGTTAGGTTAGGTTAGGTTAGGTTAGGTTAGGTTAGGTCAGGTCGGGTTAGGTTAGGTCAGGTCGGGTCAGGTTAGGTTAGGTGTAACTTGATCGGCCTTTCTCTGACGTACCGTTGCATGGCGTGGCGGCGACGTGGAGGCGGTAGGGGGTGTCAGGGGTGTTGGGTGGGAGGTCAGCCCCCACGTTCACCAGCGAGCCCTCCCACGTGTACAGCTTGATGACGTCACCACGGCCCGCCCCACAAGCACTACGGAACAGTTCTGTGGGAGACAAGGAGAGAGGGAGACATAGTGGTGAGATGGTGATGACGTAATGGTGAGATGGTGGTGAGGTAATGGTGAGATGGTGGTGAGGTAATGGTGAGATGGTGGTGAGGTAATGGTGAGATGGTGGTGAGGTAATGGTGAGATGGTGGTGAGGTAATGGTGAGATGGTGATGAGGTGATGGTGAGATGGTGATGAGGTGCTGAGATACTTATGTTAAACTGTGCCATTGCTGTTATGTGTGAACATAAGAAAATAAGGAGTCTGCAATAGGCCGGTTGGCCTGTGCATGGCAGCTCCTGTCGAGAGTTACTACCACTCTCTATCATACAGGACAGGAAACAGCGAGTGAGCATTAACGGCACTAAGTCCCATTGGAGCAACGTCACAAGTGGAGTTCCCCAAGGCTCAGTACTTGGACCATTATTGTTTATTATATACATAAACGACATAGATATCGGCATAGACAGCAACATAAGTAAATTTGCTGATGACACTAAAATAGGACGTGTATCAAATCTGACGAGTGAGGTAATGGTGAGATGGTGGTGAGGTAATGGTGAGATGGTGTGAGGTAATGGTGAGATGGTGGTGAGGTAATGGTGAGATGGTGGTGAGGTAATGGTGAGATGGTGGTGGGGTAATGGTGAGATGGTGTGAGGTAATGGTGAGATGGTGGTAGCGTAATGGTGAGATGGTGGTGATCATTAACTCGAATACGCTGAATTGCTTCAAACATAGGTTGGATGCTCATATGAGCAATAGGGGTTGGGTGTAAACGGGACTGCCCAGTATGGGCCAATAGGCCCGCTGCAGTTTCCTCTTTCTTATGTTCTTATGTTCTTATGAATCTATCTAGCCTCCTTTTGAAACTTTCCAGAGTTCCCGCACTTACTACAAAGTTGCTAAGCTTGTTCCACTCGTCCACCACCCTATTTGTGAACCAGTTTCTTCCTATCTCCCTCCTAAACTTGAATCCGTTGCTCCGAGTCCTATCCTTCTCGGATATTATAAGAACTTTATCTATATCCCTTTATTGATTCCTTTCACCCACTTAAATACTTCTATCATATCTCCCCGCACTCTTCGTCTTTCTAGGGAATGCAAGTTAAGTTTCTTTAACCTATCCTGATATGGAAGGTTTCGAAGTCCCGGAATCATTTTTGTCATTCTTCGCTGCACCGACTCTAGTGAATTTATATCCATTCTATAATAGGGGCACCAGAACTGAACCGCATAATCGAGGTGCGGCCTGACTAGCGCAAGATATAGTTGCAATAAGACCTCTGCACTCTTGTTACTTACACTTCTAGATATAAAACCCAATACTCTGTTTGCCTTATTTCGAACATTAACGCACTGTTTTCTAGGCCGTAGGTCCGGGCTTATAAGTACCCCAGGTCTCTTTCACAAGTCGACTTCTCTAGGTTGATGTTGTTAAGGCTGTATACATTATAAGTATTTGTTCTTCTCCTGCTAATTTCATTTGCCATTTTCAGACCATGCCCTCCTGCCCTGAATTAATTTACCGCCCTATTTTGGTGTCATCCGCAAACTTGCTTATGTCACTGCTGATCCCAGTATCTAGATCGTTTATGTAGATTATGAACAAGAGTGGGCCTAGTACTGACCCCTGGGGAACCCCACTGGTTACACGGCCCCACTCAGATATAACACCATCTACGCTGACCCTCTGCGTTCTTTCGGTGAGCCATGATTTTATCCAATTTAAAACTTTCCCCTCGATACCATGAGCCTTAATTTTTCTCAGAAGCCTCTGATGCGGTACTCTGTGTGTGTCACCCTCACTCACCCTCCCAGACCCTTAAAGACCACAAGTCCTTTAAGACTGAGAGCCATTATAGCAACAAGGATGTGACTTAAGAGAGAGAGAGAGAGAGAGAGAGAGAGAGAGAGAGAGAGAGAGAGAGAGGCCATCAAGCAATACAAATATCACTATTGTTGATGACATATGCTTTTGTGATACACCCTACCCCATATATACCTAACCCACTCCTTGTGTACCTAACCCACCCCTTGTGTACAGTTGCCTGCACTTCTACTTGATACAGTGGCTGGTGCACTTGGTGAGATGTGGCAACTCTGTGTTTGTTTACGTCGTATTAAAACTCCCAGAATGACCCCGAGGAACCTCACAACAATAGCCAGACCAAGGGAGGTAAATAAACATTATACAGATATGCCACATCTCAAAAAAACGTGTCAGTCATTGTACCAGGTATAAGTGCAGGCGAATGTACCTTCCCCACTCCCTGTGTACCTATCCCATTCCTTGTGTATGTATCCCACTCCCTGTGTGCCTAACTCACCCCTTGTGTACCTTCCCCACTCCTTGTGTACAGTTACCTCAAAGAGTTCCTTTACCCTCTGTGGTTCCGTTTCCGTACATGTGGCAGGGTTGTGCAATACTAGTAAATTTATGAATGACTCCGTAGTAGTCTAGTAACAATGGAGCTGATTGGTGGAAATGATTCTTAAACGTAATTTAACTTGGCAATAATGAAAATAGATGTAGGAATATAAACTCAATAATGTACACAGATGTTTCTAATAAGTAATGCCAATATAAGTGGTAAGACTTTAAAAATAAAATGTATTCGAGGAAATTTGTTTAGTTCACAATGACATCAGGAAGCTACACTTGTCCTTGTTAAATCATTACAATAACACAAATCAATGCCAGAGTAAAATATATAATCTGGAAATATGAATCAGAAGAGACTTAACACAGACACGAGTTCATTTGGTTTAGGCACCCCACACTTCATTTGGTTCACCCTCGCCGTACATACCCTCATATATTAGACGTCACAAGCCCACCGTGTGTCACTTTGTAATGTTTTGGCGTTTACATCATGTGTTATTTGGTCACCAGTAATCAAGACCTTCATTCTCACGTTGTTGTGCAAATTCAAGTCTTGCCTGTCGATGACGATCTTCTTATTTTCTTTTTTGTTAGAAAATATCACTGTCGATAATTAAACCCTTCGAAATGGTGATTGAAGGTTGGCAATTGAGTTGTTGAGTACAGTTTAGCTGTCATCATCTAAGAGAAAATCCAAATGAGGGTTAATATAATTCTTAACAATATGTTTACATTGCTTCTTGCAGCATGTTTCAAACTGTTCCACATTAAACGTCTAGTCGCAACCGATCTCTCAAGGCAACTGCATTTGTAACTGGGGACTGTCTACCTCCAGGAGTTGTCTGTCATCATCCAGGGTAGTGCTCTTCGACCTGCCACACCTTGGTTGGTTTCTAAGGTTACCCAACTTCCTCTCATCTGCTGCACCAGCCTCCGTATTCAAAGTCGCTAGACCACCCGACCGATCGGGAGCATTGTCGTGTATCGTTATTCAGAAACGCCTACAGACCTGTAAGTAGTTCCGGTAGACCGGGTTTCATATCGAGATCTTTGGAAAAATTCATCGGGATGGGGTACTCGCCCGATGACAACCCCGATGAATATAAAAACTTGTTCACCCTCCAAATCAGTTTTAAGGCCGCTACCCGACAGGTCACTAGTACTATGTAGTACATGTAGCCGGGATATAAGAGTATGGGAGGAATTATCGGAAAGGATGATCCAAGCACAACAGTGACGGGGTTTAAGAACCCAGTCAGCCTCATCACAAAGGAAGCGGCTACATTCAATCCTTATCAATGATTTTAAGTGGCACTCTACAGCGTGAACCAAACGGACACAATAATCAATGATCGGTAACAGAAATGAAGTAAAAATATATTAAGTAACATTTGTTTACATGTGACAGCTGACTAGTGGGGAACCAAACACCGGCCATCCCACTGTGCCCAAAACCCAGTGAAATATAAACCTCAAAACAATCCTCGTTTGGTTATATGATGTGAATTCATTTTAGTGTTCATTATATTTTTTGTGTTTGGGGGAAATATTATTGGGCTGTTCGCCGCCTGGGTTGTGGTCCATCCAGCCAATTTGCACATGATGGTAGCAGCTCTACCCGGTGGGTCGGGTTAGGGCAAATCCACTGTGAATACGGGTCTCAGTCTCAGTCACAGCATACACATACAGCCTCCCCCTCCATGCCTTGCATCAGCTCGCGCAAGGATACCAACCTTTCCAACTTACTTTTACTTTGATCTTCTGCATCACTGATCGGCTCATTAACCGCTTGGGCGATCGGCTACGTCTCTGTTACACACTGTTGGCAAGTACTGGCCATGCACCGGCTCCTGAATGTATCTGAACCTGCTCCAGTGTTGGTCAAGTCTGGTCCTGAAAGAGCTCACATTCGGTGCCGTCACAACACTCTCTGGCAGGTTGTTCCAAGAGTTCACAATTCTCACTCCCGAAAAAGTTTGCCCTGACAGTTTTCTGGATTTGTGGCTTCTTCAACCTTGAGCTGTGACCCCTTGTGGGGCGAGCGTCCGCCAGCTCCCAAGTCCAGGTATGGGCAGTCGACTGAGTTAGTGCCCTCTGAGATGTTTATAAACTCCATTTAGGTCCCCCTTTGCCTGACAGCTGCAGGCGTTCTAAAATCCCTTGGTAATTGAGGTGCCATAGTGCAGGCACCAGTCTAGTGGCCCTCCTGTGGACATTTTCAATCAACTGATAGTCTCTAGTATATTATTAAGAATCATACTGATCACTTATTTAGATTTTCTCCTAGATGATAATAATTTAAAAACTTGTACTCAATTGCCAACATCCAATCACCATTTAGAAGGGTTTAATTTTCGACATTGATGTTAAATATACCCAGAATGGAGGAGACAGAATAAACGTGCTTTTTTTTAGAGAGAAAATTATGAAAACAGTTTCTTGCCTCACCACTTTCCTGCTTCCGACAGACAGTTAACTGGTTAGTAGAGGTCAGCGGGTGACGACAATAATGATATTCCTCCGCGCTATTGTCATGTAAATAACCAATATATTTCATAAATAAACTGCCAGCGGTTGGGCGTAATTTACCTTGTTAATTAATACTTGTAACAACAATACCTATATTAAGGTACAGTTTTCCCTCATTCGATCTGTTCCATCCAGGTGTTGTGGCCTCCAGGGTGATGCCATTGTGAGGGAAGACGAACTGCAACACACCTCCACCATTACCGGAACACACAGACTGGTGCCCGCCCCCTCCCCCCGTATGGTTGTCTGGCGTCCACCCAAAGTAGGACTAAAAGATTGTTCATATTGCCAGAGATGTACAGTATATAAATCTTCTCACCCTCATCTATACCCTATATAAACAATACATTAATGGAAGTAAACGTCACTCGCAGGAAGAATTAGCCTGAACCAATGACGACAATCCCGCCACAACTTGTATAAATATTCACATTTAAAAATAAAATCCCACAAGCACCCATAAAACACGAGCTATGTATAACATTACTGTATCGGTTTTTATCTAAAAAAATATCCCGCGAGCCGTGACACTCAGGGCGGGTATTAAACTTCAAAGTATTTCCTGGTTGTTTTACGGGTGAAAACGGTATTACACTGAGCCAGGCCAGGGGGAAAAAAGTGCTGCCAGCCTACACAAAAGTTTGGAGTCGTGTTTGTAAACTTACCAGCATTAATTAGCCATTTGAGTAATTACTCTTATTTTTGTGTAAAGCGTAAGTTCAGGGGTTCAAAGCGGCCACTATATATATATATATATATATATATATATATATATATATATATATATATATATATATATATATATATATATATATATATATATATATATATATATATATATATATATATATATATATACAGTGGCCGCTTTGAACCCCGTCATGATTCTAATTAAAGCAATCTTACATCTTTTCGTTTCAACGTATAATAAATATATACATTTTCGGTAACTTACGTCAATCACTTGTACTTACATTAAACAAGAAAGGTTTAAGCTCAATGATAGGTTAAGAGTTTCTCTCAGCTGAATAAAAGTGTCTGGCGTTAGGCAGAACAAACACGTAAGTGCGCCACTACTGCGGAAGGGTTAATACTCAGTATCGCCTCATTGGTAATTTGAAGTAGTATTGGTTACATCGAACGGCTTCGTATCCAATCCGGTGATGAGGCAGTGTAGAGGTGTTGTGGTCGGCCTGTAATTCCCGCAACTAGTGAGGAGAGAGAGGGGGGGGGGGGTTCTGGCCAATCACGTAACGCGAACGACAGGTTGGAAGTTTCTAAGTCCGCCCCTGACTTGATTGACTGGACGTGTGTTTGACTTCCTCTACCTCCACTTTAGCTTCGTCAACCTCCACTTTGGCTTCCTCAACCTCCACTTTGACTTCGTCAACTTCCACTTTGGCTTCGACATTGTAGTTGTGGACCCATTTCGGCTTCAACACCAGTTATTGCAGCCTCACATTGGCTTCCACTGGAGGCGGGTGAGGGAGAACTTCAAAGTACTGTTCGTTCTGTGACTTCTAGCAAACCTAACCTAAGTTGGCAACGTGTCACTGCCGGTAGCTGTGAATGGACGCTTGTGGGAGAGAGAGAGAGAGAGAGTGAATAGGCCCCCCACAGTGCTTAAAATGAGGTTCCACCAGGGCCGTCCCTAGGAGGGTGCGGGGCCCGGGGCAACTCAGCCACTGCGGGGCCCCACCAACCCCCATGGGACTGTCGCTATGGATAGTAAGGTCACGGTTGTGATGGTGGCGTAAGCCGTCAGGTCAGATTAACCAGTCAACAGGTAATGTGTCCGAGGTCACTGGGTCAGTGTTGCCCCTGGGCCCCTGGCGGTGGCTCCCCAAAGGACGGCCTGGGTCCCACACAGTATAGTTATATCTCTACTCTGCCCATTTCACTTTTACTTCTGCCTCAAACAGTCCCCCACGAAAGACTAATTAGAAAGGTAGAAACACATGGCATCAAAGGTAACATCCTTAAATGGATTAGGGCGTGGTTACAGGACAGGAAACAGCGAGTGAGCATTAACGGCACTAAGTCCCATTGGAGCAACGGCACAAGTGGAGTTCCCCAAGGCTCAGTACTTGGACCATTATTATTTATTATATACATAAACGACATAGATATCGGCATAACAGCAACATAAGTAAATTTGCTGATGACACTAAAATAGGACGTGTTATTAAATCTGACGAGGACTCGGCAAAACTACAGGAAGATCTAAACAAATTTTTCGAATGGTCTGAAAAATGGCAGATGAAATTCAACGTCGACAAATGTAAAGTACTCAGTATAGGAGATGTAAACAGGGAAACCAGATACCAGATGAACAACGATGCCATAGAGAAATCCGACTGCGAGAGAGATTTAGGAGTAATGATAAGTAGGAACCTTAAGCCAAGTAAACAATGTGTTTTTGCTCGTAACAAGGCTAATAAAGTACTTGGGTTCATACAAAGGAGTGTTAGTTACAAGACTAGCGAGGTCATCCTAAAACTGTATCTTGCTCTTGTGAGACCACACCTGGATTACGCAGTTCAGTTCTGGTCACCGTATTACAGGATGGATATAGAATCATTGGAAAGAATTCAGAGGAGAATGACAAGACTAATCCCGGGCATTAGGAACCTTGAGTATAGAGACAGGTTAAAGCATCTTAATTTGCACTCCCTCGAGAGACGTAGAGCGAGGGGCGACCTGATAGAGGTGTATAAGTGGAAGTCAGGGCTAAACAAAGGGGACATTACAAAGGTACTCAAACTATCCAACCAGGAGCGAACTCGTAACAATGGTTTTAAATTAGACAAATTTAGATTTAGGCGTGAAATAGGTAAACACTGGTTTGGAAACAGTAGTGGATGAATGGAACAAGTTACCAAATATCATCATTAACTTGAATACGCTGAATAGCTTCAAACATAGGTTGGATGCTTATATGAGCAATAGGGGTTGGGTGTAAATGGGACTGCCCAGTATGGGCCAATAGGCCCGCTGCAGTTTCCTCCATTCTTATGTTCTTATTTTCTCTTTATTTCCCGTTTTTTCTGATTCATTTGTTTAATTTTTCTGTTCATTTCCCTACAGTTATGCCTTCTGTCATCATCATCTGTCTCCTTCCATTCCTTTTCTATATAATCTTAGTTGATCTGTCTACATTATTCTTTAAATTCTTTGTTAAATTTTTGTAAGCTTGACTATCTTTCATTATATCTTTTAGTCTATCTACTTTCTTTAATATATAATTTGTTGTCCACTCACGTTTAGCTTCGTTCCTCATATGTCCTGTACTTCTTTGTTATTATTATATTGTTGTCCTGGTTCTTGTTCGTCAAAATCACACTCTAGCAACACTAAAAATCTATTTTCGGTTTCAACTTCACATTTTATCCCTGCCCCTGTTTTGAGCTTACCTAAATCCCATTTGATTTTGTTCATAGTTTTTCTTATTAATTTGTGAAGTTTTAGCCTCACCAAACTTATTACTGGGACGTGATCTGACCCACACTCTGCCCCTTGATAGGTCTTGGTTCCGGTACAATGAAAACCACCAGAGTAAGACTAGGCCCCTCACAGGACGTAAAAAGAGACCCAACACGAGACCCCGGGACACAAAACTACTATACAGCAATAATAATAATAATAATAATAATAATAATAATAATAATAATAATAATAATAATAATAATAATAATAATAATAATAATAATAATAACTTCAAGTCCATAATAGAGATGCAGATGGAGGGGAGGGCAGGAAGCTGAGGAAGGATCCTTTGATGTACACTTCCCATAATAAGTTGAGCCGTGAGCCCCAATCACTAGAGGGCCACTTAACTTAGTCGTAATTGGCCTCCCTCCCCCCCCCCCACCCCTCGCGAAGTCTCCCTAACAAGCCTTTTTCTTTGAGAACGTCTACTACGTTTTCATTGATAAATAGGTCACGTTCCAAGAATGGAAACCTTTTGATAAGAATTTTTGCTCTCCTGAACACCCATTACAAGGAGGTAAGAGAGAAAGGGAAGGTTAGGTTAGTTTAAATCAGGTAAGTTCAGGTTAGGTTAAGCCAGTTAACTGTTTAGGTTACGTCAGGTCAAGTTAGGTTAGATTAAGTTCCTGTATGTTTCTGGAGGTGAAATAATCAACACCAAGTCATATTTAGCGACACGAAGGTTCTCTATAACGATGAAGCGTTGTTAACTCAGAGAGCACTCCGTTTTCTGTCCCACTGTCTGATTTACAGCGTTAACTTTCTTATTTCTGACTTTCCTGTTGTAAATATCAGCCACCGTCGTCGTGTTTTCTTGATCTGGTTAAATCGATTGATCTCTTACCATTGTTTATATACCGACACTATCTATGTATATTCTGTATACCTACAATGTCTATTTACACTGTTTGTATACCTGCACCGTGTACACTGTATACTTACACTATTTACACTGTTGTATACCTGCACTACCCATGTACAGTAGCTAAAACAACTATCTGTGCATACTTTTGGGGAACAATAAGAGACAATGAAGAATAAATTTTGGTATATGATGGCTGTCACTAGTCACACGTAAAATTTCGGAGCATATCGACCCCCACCTGGACAGATAGTTGTTTTAGCTACTGTACAGTACTCAAAAAAGTCTGTCCACACTGTGTGAAACATTATGAGACCACGGATGATACTTTTATACTTTTTTATCCTATTCACCACTGATCAGCTCGTTAGCCACTTGGGCGGTCAGTTAAGTGTCTATTGCGCACTGTTGGCAAAAGTACTGGGCATGCATCGGCTCCTGAATGTTGGTCAAGTCTGGTTTTAAATATGCCCATACTGGGATATGCACATTCCTGCCCTATAGAGTTTAACGTAATTAATGCAATGTGTATTTATTTCGGCGTAATTAATATGATGTTCGGTCACCAAATGTAGTAGGATCAGTATGCCGCAGAGCCACGCATACCAACCCTCCCGGGACACAGAGCCACGCATACCAACCCTCCCGGGGACACAGAGCCACGCATACCAACCCTCCCGGGACACAGAGCCACGCATACCAACCCTCCCGGGACATCTCGAGTTGCATGTAGCATTTGGGAAGTCATCGGACCCATCCAGGCAGCTACTTTTTGAGGTACTGTATACAATGTTTGTTTACCTACGTCTTAATATAATGAAGTAATGTGAATTTGTATATCCATTTAATTTTCTTGTGCTCTATGTTTCTTATATATTTTACCCGTTCGTCAGATTTGCGTCGTTCAAGAGACTTTGTTGGGATTACCTGAAGATTCAATCACCAGTTTATTTCACCTGAAGATTAGCCACTCTAACTACTCATATAATTAGTTTTGTTAGGTCAGTGTTAAGTTGGTTAATTCATAAGGTGAAATAAACAGGGAAACGGGTCTTCAGGTTAGCTTTGTGTTGATACTTAAACAACACTTCAGTTACACCTCTAAATATCTTCCTTCCTGCGTTTCTTTTTTATTCTCCCTATTTATTACACCTCTCTCTCTCTCTCTGTCTCCCTCTAAACATTATCCAATCCTTTAACATGGGCCCTTATTGGTCAGTGAAGAACGAATCAGCCAATCCAACACCTTCATTCGTTTTGGTGATTTACACAGAATTTCGTAAACCATAGAAAACTAGATAAATACGAGAGAATGTTGAAGTTTAGAGGGACACTTAGTTAAAAGTTATATTGAGGCCAATGAAGGTGATAATGTAATATATTTGATAAAGGACATAAATATACAAGTAGAATTATGATAACGATGTAATTATAACGAATAAATAAAAACAGAAAATTAGGAAGCATTGATGTGTGCACGTAAGAAATTAAATAAATAATAATAACAATAATAATAAAAATAATAATAATAATAATAATAATAATAATAATAAAGACACGAAACTCCAATTACATTATGCAGATGCGTGTTTGAAAGACGGACGAAAGGAGACGGGCACAAGCAATCAGACAGACAGACAGAAGAGACGGAAATAAAGAAGGAAGGAAGGGCAGACGAGAAAGAATGAAGGAAAAAAGGAAGAAGGGCGGTAAGTATGAGAGGCCAGGAGGCGAGCAAGCAACTGTGAAGGACTTAGGTCAGCTGGTGGTGACGGAACTCTTAAACACCCAGGAGAGGAAAGTTAATCTATTTTATATACTCGCCGGGTGAAATATGACCTTACAGTATACACGGAACATGGAGGTGGGAATTATAAGGTAGGAAGGAGTATGATTCAGGAAATACAATCTACAATAAATATACAGTATACATCGGTGATAGAGTGATAATTATACAGTAGTTTAGAGGTAATGAAAATAAATGGGTGAATTGTTGGTTGGTTTGGGTAGATTTTTACTTGGGGAATCACGTAAGATTACCTCAGTGTGTTCTGGCCTGTGGGAGCGGTTGTATTGGTGGCTATTGTTAATATTAATATTTTGGACTCTAATGACCTCTAAACATTCTGAATTCATGTTTTCATAATCAGCAATATTTCAAAACGAAGGTAGATCTTAGAAATCAAAACGCCCGCTTACATGTTTTTGTTCAGTTTTACGCTGTAGATCATTCATATCTTCATTCTAAACTCACATCCCTGAAAGTACAATCATTTAGCTACACAGGTACAGTACCCATAAGCAGACAACTGAAGATTACAGAATGCCAGGTACGATGTTATGGAAATAGTTGTCAAAGACTCGTAAATAAATAATCATATAATATCTTGTTAATTCATGAACACTCCGCTTGATAATTTTCCCGGCGACACGTACCTGTACCTACACATGTACAGTGCGGTACATAGAGGACTGAGCTTTCCACATTTGCCAAACGAGTCAATTCTTGGCACCATTTGGACGCCCCTAGTCAGTTCTCGTCACCATTTGGACGCCCCGAGTCAGTTCTCGTCACCATTTGGACGCCCCAGTAAACATTGTCCATTAGGTGACCACCCACCATCCCTTGCTGTCACCCTCAATCACCTGGGCTCGGTAGAGTCTGTATGACCTTAAGGCTCTGCTGCCGGACATGTCCAGCTTGATATAAAGGTCTCTATATGTAGCACAAGACCATCCGAGATTAGTGGAATATTCTCAGTGAGTCTGTTGCCTTGAGAGAACATGTGTGATGGGCTTGGTTTGCTGAGATGAGGTGGGCAGTGCTTCTATACAGCAGGAGCACGACTCAGTGGATACAACATCTTGAGAAATGTTTCCTGGCCGTGTACAGTGAGGAGACCACCGAGGCACAAGTTAGACGGGAGAACGTTTCCTCTTCACTACTGTAATAACAACAATGAGTCCACCAACAACGGATGAAAGAGGCAAGTATAGACCAGAGATAAGGACGTGGTAAATAACTAAACAAGGATGAAAGAGGCAAGTATAGACCAGAGATAAGGACGTGGTAAATAACTAAATAAGAAATAGGTATAACGGAGCATAAGTGAGTAATGAAAAGAAAATAAGATTACACAAAGATTTAAAAAGAAACATCAAACTTTCTCTTCATTTATATAAACTCTAACAACCGCTGGTACATACGGCATTAACGGTATTCAATTTATGCCTGGACGTAACATGTGGATCACAGCAACTACGTCCAGTATCATTATCTCGGCATAAGGAACCTCCATCGCAGTGTTCCCCTCAAAACAAGGGAAATATATAACTTCTTGTGAGCTTTCAACTGCCCCACGGTAAACAATAAGTGGGGGAGGGGGGAATATGCTAGGTTCTCATGCTTGAAGAACTAACTCAAGTCACCATCTCTTGCTTGGCGGGCCATGTACTACCTAGAAAACAGATTACATTCCTTCTTCAGAGCTGCAAATTTGGGTTGGGACTTGCTCTATACTTTGACTGAAACACCAGACAGTCATTCCGTTTAAGGGTGTCGATGACTGGCTGGGTGTGTTGGTTGAGCCTGTCCTTAACCTGCGCTTTACCTGGTTGGTACACATGATGACAGCGACCAGCATAACACCTTTAAGCTCTCGGTAATTATGTCTTTAGTTACCATGGTGAAGAGATTACCCATTTCTTCAATTACTAACACATGTTCTCTTACACTCTGAGCTGCAGCTATCATTTGGTGATGCAGTATATGGCGCCACGACTGTTATTGTTAAAGAATGTTCCTCCAAGCTATTTTACCATTCTGATCACTTCCAGTCCAGAAGGTAACACTCACTAGGGAGGCAAGAGCAGAACACTATAAGACTAATTACTGAACAAGGCTGGTCTGGCTCACGCAGTAACATCCTATGTGGGGATTAATGTGACATATTAAATTTATTGTTGTAGAAATGACAATAATGTTCTGATCATATCCACCGGTGATGTTAATACGTTGAGTTCACCAGTGTTAAGCTTCAAACTACGATGTCAACACTAAAACACAATTATACAATTATATACTCCGTTCAACATAAGGGGATACTACTATATTGATTTAAAATAAAGTAAAAATATATAGATAAATTAGATCAAGTGTAATTTACATCAATGTCCATTATACGTCAAGAACACATGAATATAGACCACTATATTAATGAACTGTATAAAATTGAACCTAAAATATTGATAATAACAACTTTGGGTGGCGGCCATTTTTAGATCCAAGATAGTCGCTCTCACGGACCAGATATGATTTCCCATACAAGATTATTTAAACACCTGGATTATAGGGACTGGAGGTGAGAATTATACCTCAGCGTGTACCATCTCTCAGCGTGTACCATCTCTCAGCGTGTACCATCTCTCAGTGTACCATCTCTCAGCGTGTACCATCTCCCAGCGTGTACCATCTCCCAGCGTGTACCATCTCTCAGCGTGTACCATCTCTCAGCGTGTACCATCTCTCAGCGTGTACCATCTCCCAGCGTGTACCATCTCTGTAAGCGTACCATCTCTCAGCGTGTACCATCTCATTCTCTCGTGTACCATCTCAGCGTGCATCTCTCAGCGTGTACCATCTCTCAGCGTGTACCATCTCTCAGCGTACACAGATCATCAACCACCAACTGTATCAAACCCCGTCATTTCACCACGAGATATGAGTGAATGTTTCTCAATAGCGTGTTTACCCCCATCACGGTACGGGGATATTCCAATGACCTTATAACTGAAGGGTCAAAGGTCAAGAGGGTCATAATCTTTCCCCAATTTTCAAATAGAGACTAAAACGACCTAAGTTTAAGTTATAATTGGTTAGGTTGTGTTAAATTACTGTAAGATGGATTTAAGTAGGGTTAGGTTAGGTTAGATTAGGATGACTTTACCTGTTATGAAAATCTAGGTGAGAGAGAGAGAGAGAGAGAGAGAGAGAGAGAGAGAGTCAAGAGCGTTTGTTGACAAGAGAAGGTCTGGTTGCGCACGTCCACTTAATCCCCCCAAGCAAGATTTAATTATTCTCATTATTTTCGTTTGTTTTCAGTTCGCTTCCCAACTGCAAGAGGAAGCTGCCGTTATATCTCTTCATTAGCCACAGGTGAGGGATGGAAGGGGGAGTAGATGGAAGAGGGAGGGAGGGGAAGAGGGAGGGAGGTAAGGAAGACATCAACATCAATTCTGTATGAAGGGACCAATATGACGCCGCAGACAATAACAACTAATATGGCGTCCAATATGGTACTCGGATGACGATTTTCTCTGCGTATTCTGTTCTTTTTCCCGTGTAAACTGGTACTGTTTTTCCCGCGCAATCTGTTGTTTGTAAACTGCGCGTCGTAAAATTTTTTCCAGCGCATTTAATGTTTATTTTTTTTATTTTTTATTTTTCATTTATTTATTTTGTTTTATTTCTTTAGCCCCACGAACTTCTTTTATTTGAGGGTATTTTATTATTATTATTTTTTACGAGTGCACCTTTTATTTTGCAAGAGTTAATTTTTTGGCGAGGTCCACTGTTATTTTTACAAACTTGTCTGTTATTCTGCAAGGCTCATCTGTTGTTTTTAGAATATCTATTGTTATTAATGTTATAATTATCAAAAGCTCACCTGTTGATTGTTGAGCGTAACTTATTTTTCTATAATATCTGTTACTTTTTGTTGTTGGCTCGGGCTTGTGTGTTATTTTCTAGGAAAGTCTTTGGTTTCTGAGCTCTTCTAATCATCCCAGCTCGTGTCTGTTGTTTTGGTTGAGATACATTGAAGCGACACCAATTAAGCTGTAAAAGAATCCTTGTTTATCCTGACGATGAATTTTGGTTACACTAAAACAAAGGACTGTGAGTGGTGTCGTCCCTCTCCCGTGAGCGGATACCTCTAAATCAGAGAGGCTTCAGTCCACTAATGAGGGAACCATCTATGATAAAGTTCGCTAATGAGATGTAATGATTGTTTATCAGATCACAGCTTACAGCCCAGAGAAGAACAGCACATATAGTAGTGACCGGATGCGCAGGTGTACACCCACGTAAGTTAACCCACCCTTCGTAATTAAAGTGAAATTAAGATCTGACCCAACAGAGGTCATGGGCATAATGAAACAGGGTTCTCATCACCGCGTGTGTAGTCAAACCGACGTCATGACCTTGTTAATTCGAGAAACTGCCCTACCAGCCAATACACCTAACACCTGGCCAGACACACCTAGATTAGTGACGACATCTACCGGCCTGACACCTCCAATATAAGGGGCCGACAGCTTCTTCCGTGAGACAGACAGGCAGAGGCAGACGGGAGGGGGACCTCTCTCCCCAGCACCGAGTTCCCAGCTAGCAGAGTCTCCCGCAGGTGACAGAGTGTAGCACCTGCAGACAAATTCCCTAACTTTGGGCCTCCCTCAGGTCACGCGTGAGTCATTGTCAAGAGCGATCCATAGGGTGAGTTACTTACGGTGGGAAGTGTATCTTTTTCATATTTGTGTCCGAGAGTCAGAGTCTAGTAACGTCACTATAATGTGTCCATGCCATTCAGTAAACTAATAAATAGCTGTAATTTGAATTGTTGTTTAGCATATTTCCCCAAAGAACTTATTAACGGTTAAATAACTAATCGGCCACACTACCAAACTTTCCTCACTTCACAATCCAACAACTACAAGCTCTTACTTTACCTTCTTCCCCAGTTTACCCTCATTACCGAGAGGTTTTTCCGTTAGCTGTTATTTGTCAACCGAAACTATTTATATATAAAGCTTTTTTATGGTTCACTTGAATAACAGCCCCAGCTTATTCCACCTTATGATTAACCACCCTAACCTAGCCTAACCTAACCAAATCCCAGAGTGTGATAACCTAACCCCCTGTGTAATATAATTTAACCCCAACGGTTGACAGCTTTGTCGGTTGTCCTTGGTCAGGTTGCCTAGTGTTGTAGTGAACATGTAATGATACCTGTGTTGTAGTGAACATGTACTACTAGTGTTGTAGCGAACATGTAATGATACCTGTGTTGTAGTGAACAGGTAGAACTAGTGTTGTAGTGAACATGTATTACTAGTGTTGTAGTGAACATGTAGTACTGGTGTTGTACTGAACATGTAGTATTAGTGTTGTAGTGAACATGTAGTACTAGTGTTGTAGTGGATATGTAGTAGT